CCGCGCTCGCGGGACAAGCGGGGGGGCAGCCGGCGTCGTTGCGCTCAGCAATTGTTGTGTGGGAACGGGAAAATCTTGGGTGTCCATCATGCCCCTTGTTGGCTAACTGCTGTTCGTGACCTCCGACGTCTGTCCGAAGGCGGGAACTGCCACGAGAGGGCACTGTGGTGGAAAAGGGCTGCCAGTACCAGTTCCTGAGGACTATCCAAGTCATTTTCCTTCTTTGCTGGAGGGTTTGATTCCCAAGCGGCTGGTCAGCCCGTGTCCTTGGCTGTGTCCCTCCCAGGGCGGTGGCAGAACTCTCCCAGGAGGAGCACGGTCCCGCTGGGCAGCGGGGGAGAGCAGAGGAGCCCCCAGCAGCCCCTCCGGTGGGTCCCTCTCTGTCCTGACGGCCTTGGAGCCTCATCCTGGGGCAGGACACACGTTCTGAATAAAGATTGTTTTTTCCCCCTGCCCGTCTTGTCGTGGGAGGTTAATGGCCAATTTCACTGGCTGGGAGAGACTCGAGCGGAACAAACCGGGGCTGCGGCGCCAGCTGACAGCCTGGCGCTGCCGTCCACGCCAGAGGGGCTGGGAGCTTCGGCGTTGAATTAAAGGGTGAATGATCAGCCAGGGAGGGAGCAGGGTGGCTACGGCTGCCCCCGGGGCGGGCGGGGGAACAACATGGAGCTTGCGCTGCAGTGAGGCTGGGTTTTGGCTGTTCTCGACGCGTGGGTTCTTCTAACCTCGAACACGAGTGGCAAGGAGTGCAAGGAGCGGTTATAGGCCGTAAATCCCGTACTAGCGTCGGGCCTGCCTGTACTCCTCGGGCACGGGAGCAGAGGCTCTCCAGGGTGAAAACAGCGGCAGACGCTCTGCCACGCCTGAGTGCCAGAGTCTTGAACCGAGGAGTTTTCAAGCAAATTACAGCCTGCCTCCGGGAGAAGAGCATGTTTAGGAGCGGTCAACAGTTGCCCCTCGGAACAAAGGGCTGGCATTGGCCTCTGGACACACCAAAAACGTCCCCTCCGCACGTGCCCTTGAGTGAGGAGCGAACTGTGTCAGACCCAAAAGCTCCCGCAGTGATGCGCTCACCAACTAAACCCATTTTTAAGGCCTTGAAGAGGTGTGTGAGGTCTTCACAAACGTGATTGAGACACCAAGTCCAGAAAACCCAGGCAAACCCAGAGACACCCCAATAATGCAGGTAGCAGGGTGGGATGGGCTTACAGAGTCAGGATCTTAAATACTGGTTTATGGAACTTGCGGGGTGGGGTTAAACCTTTGCTTTTCACCGTTTTCATATAGAATCATGGAATGGTTTGTGCAGGAAGGGACCTTCACAGGTAGCAGGGTGGGATGGGCTTACACCCTTGCTTTTCACCGTTTTCTTATAGAATCATGGAATGGTTTGTGCAGGAAGGGACCTTCAAGCCCCCCAAGTGCCACCCCCTGCCATGGGCAGGGACACCTTCCACTAGACCAGGTTGCTCCCAGCCTCATCCAGCCTGGCCTTGGACACTTCCAGGGATGGGGCATCCACAGCTTCTCTGGGCAACCTGTCCCAGTGCTCCCCACCCTCTGCAAGAAGAATTCCTTCCTGGTGTCCCATCTCCCTGCTCTTTGACCCCATATTCCGAGGGTCCCTGCGGCAGTGAAGCGCGTGTGTCGGCTGTGGTCGGTCTCAGTGCGGTAAGCATCCAGCTGCTCATCCGAAACGGGAGCACTTGGGGAGATCGTGGCACCTCGCTGCAAAGCTGCGTGTGAATAACTCCGCCGCACCCCTGCGGGCACAACGTTGGGGCTTTACCAGGCTTCTCGTGACCCTGCCGTGCAGTTTTGCTCAAACTGGAAAGGGAACAGGTAACTGCGCAAGCGAAAAAAGATGTTTAAGCTGTTGTTTAAGATGTAGGTTCAGTGTTTGCATTTCAGACAGAGATTCATCCTGCTACCGCAGCGAACCGATTCCCAAATAATACTTTTGAAAAGGAAACAAAATTCCTTGCATCTCCTCTGAGACAACAGGAAACACTTCTTAATTTGGATTCCAACATGACTCAGTTGAGAGATGATAGCAGTTGCCAAAACAAGGGGAGGAGGGGCCGAGGGGAAGCGAAAACCCAACAAAAACAAGATATGGGAAAAAAAATGCGAGCGCTGGGAAAACCACGCCCGGCAAGGTACCTACAAAGGGTATGAAAGACGTTAATGCTCACAGCAACACTGCAGGGCTCATGTCGTCTTCTCAGGAATCCTGTTTATTCAGCGCAGAGTAACGACGACCCACGCGGATGCTGCGTGCGCGTCCCGGGGGCTCCGCAGTGCAACGCTCCCTGTCACTGCTTGTATCCCCCCAGTTCTGCGGTTCGCTTACAGGGCGGTGCCATGCCAAGTCACTCTCCCCATCACCTCTTGGTGTTTGCAAACTCGGGAGATTATGTGCCCGAACGTAAACAGGAAGGTGACCAAGCAACGCCTCCTGTCACTGTGGCATACACTTCTGGCTCTTTGGTACCTGTAAGAACAGCAGCTCCTGGGTGATGCAGCCCTTAGGAACATCCATTCTGGCACGACCCCAGCGCTGAAACGACAAATGCATTTAGGCCACGGGGTCTCTCCAGCCCAGCGAGCACCAGCTCAGAGGGGCTGCAGCGAAAGGCCACGGGACAGAGCCGCTTGGTGCCCTCACAGCGCGGCATGCGGAGCCCCCGCCGCACCCTGACGACCAACTGTGGGCCTTCTCGGCAGTTACGCGGTGGGAAAGAATCATGACAGTGCTGTTCTGTGCATTTCTTCTGACAGGAAAACCAGCTCAGCGGGACGCTGTCGTGCGACGTGCTGGCTGGAGGCACCTCCCCATGGGAGGAGAAGGCCCTCGCTGCTGCTCCCCACGGCCTCTGGAACCCGACTGGGAGCTGAACGCTGCCTGCAGCTGCACCCGTGGCTTACCGGGACTCTACCTGCTTTGCAGAGCCTCCTCTGCCGTTCACTGTTGAGTCCATCAGTTCATTTGAACACCCAGAAGTTAAAACCACGCAACAGGGGTGTGTTTAACACCATGGGCTCTAACTCCTCTAAAACAAACGGCTCTCCTCTCTTCCTCATCCCAAAGCTTGATGCAGAAGTAAAATCTGGAAGAGGAAGAGTCGTCACCTCGTTCTAAACGCAAAAGCCCCGGCCGCTTCACTGGGAAGGGTGGGAAGGTTTGTTTCGGGTGCCTGAGCTGGCTTCGTCAGCGGCACCGGCGCTGAAGGGTAACGTGGCGTTACAATGAACGCTGCGTGCGCACCCCTGGAACGTTTCCGTACGCCCTCCTCTTTGGAAGGGACAATACTCTCAATTTCCCATTTCTACCACAAAAAAACCCCCAACATTAGTAAACAGAACTGGGTTTCAATGGTATTTTAAAGACAGGAAAACTGCTACAACTGTAAAGTTCCAAATTCTTTAAGTATATAAAGAGTGTACAAAAGGCTGTGAGAAAGGTATTTTGTTACAGGTCCTGTTTTGAGCTGGTCTGATGCTGACCATAAAAATGGTAAATACTACCTGATGCCATTAATTTACACAATACCTGGGCCTGTATGCGTCCTGCAGGTACACTTAGGTAATTATTCCAAAGCCTCCTGGGCTCGGGTTTCTTCTGGAATAATGGCCTCAAGTCAAATCTTCTCAGTTTAGTCAGTGACTCGTTTCCCTTTGCCACAAAAAAAGCCCCCAAGGGCTTCATTTCTCTGGGAGCCTGTGAAGGTCTCGCGCCCGTGTTCAGTACTTGGGAATCCCTTTAACGATGGGCACCGGGGGAGGGTTCTGCATGTCGCTCGGGCGGACGTCGTAGCCCAGCTTCTTCATATCTTTGGTCACTACGTTGAAGGAGATGGTCACAAAGCCTTGGGATCGCACCCTGGTTACTAGGGGAAAGGAGATGTGAATGAAACTGGTTGAGAGGTGTGCGAGGAGTTGCTGAACTCCTCACACCCAGGTAGGGCTGTGGGAACAACAGCGGGAACAACCAGCTCCACTGAAGAGGGACAGTCAAGCTCTGCCCGCCGTCATGGTCAGCTCCCGGGGACTTACCTTCTCTTCCTTCTCCCTGTGCCACCACTCTGGGGTCAGTGAACTCTGGATGTCTCCCTGTGAACCAACTTGGAGAAGAAATGAGGAAATAGTTAATTGGATGCATTCATTAGTGTTTAGATTTGAGAGTTCATCATTATGCACGTTAAAAACAGGGGGGTTAATGGGACTCCCAGCTTTTGCTTGGAGACTGATTCACTTTATTGCTGGTCCACTTTGATCAAAGTTTTGTCTCTCTAAGAGAAAAAAAGAAACCAATTTCACACACATTATGCTAAACCCAAGTTAATTCTGGGCTAGACAGAGTCTTTCTATGGCAAAAATGTTTTTCAAGCTGATTCCTCTCGATGACCCAGAGAACAGAGAGGGCTGGATATTTGAACACATCAGAGGTGCCCGTAATTCCAAAGTTTACAAATTACAGTGTAGATGCTACAAATATCCTAAAGTTTTTAATCCTGACTGTGGGGCACGGACTCCCACGCTGACCCAAAGCACTGGAGTACCACAAGGCTGACGCTGCGCGAGGGGAGGCTGCGTTGGTACCGGCAACCCACAGCCGAGCAGGCAGCTCACCGATCAGGCTGTACTTCACAGACTGGAGGGAAAACACCTTAATACCCCCAGGTGCTATCTACAAGCTGCTGCTTGGGAAGGGCTGTGTGTGTAAACAAGACAAAGGTTACAGCACATGCGTTCCAGATGGAGGGAAAGGCTGAACTGGGAACTGGTTTTCCACGTTCTGCCTTTGCTTTCCAGGTTGGTCTTAATGTGGCTGTCCTTCAAGAAAAGCCCCTAGCTGCAGTCAGATTTGGGGGTGGACAGCAGCACACCTCCTCAGAGGCCGGTGACAACTAAAATGCTTGCTGGAATCAGTCTGAGTAGCACCTCTGCAAGTCACATCACTGATCTTATCCCCGAGAGGGTGGGAGCACTGGGACAGGTTGCCCAGAGAAGCTGTGGATGCCCCATCCCTGGAAGTGTCCAAGGCCAGGCTGGATGAGGCTTGGAGCAACCTGGTCTAGTGGAAGGTGTCCCTGCCCATGGCAGGGGGTGGGACTGGGCGGGCTTTAAGGTCCCTTCCCACCCAAACTGGTCTGTGATTCCGTGATAACCATGATTTTACCTACAAACCTCAAACTATCTGGTTATGGAACAAAGTATTCACACACAGGCACCAGTGAGTAGCTGGATGTGCCTTTGTGAGTAAAAGCAAGAAAGACTTAAAGGAAAAGGCTTTAATTATTACCTTGTAAACTTCTGCAGCCTGGATGTGGACTCTGGAACAAACATAGCGATGGTTTTTGTATGCCTGAAACAAACATGAGACGCACAGAACTGAACCGCACCGAACAGCACTGGTAAGACTCCTTGTGTTTATAAAGGCACCCGACTTTCGGACACGTCGGACCACTGAACAGCTCAAAGGATCCCACATTCCCTTCCACAAAGAG